ACAAAGTAGCAACAATGGTGCATTGGAAGATCTGCAAAAAATATCATTTGCCTGTAAGCAAAAACTGGTGGGATCATAAAATAGAGAAAGTCATAGAAAATGATAAAATTAAACTGCTCTGGGACTTCAGAATTCAAACAGACAAGCACCTGCAACATAACACCCCAGACTTAACAATTGTCGATAAGAAAGACAAAAAAGTCTGGATAGTGGACGTGGCAGTGCCTGGAGATAGCAGAATAGAAGAGAAAGAACTGGAGAAGATAACAAAATACAAAGACCTACAAATAGAAATAGAAAGACTGTGGCAAAAGCAAGCAAGGGTAGTACCAATAGTCATAGGCTCCTTGGGTGCAATCCCAAAACAACTGGAGCACCACTTGAACACCATTGGCATTGACAAATTCGCTATTAGTCAATTGCAAAAGGCGGCCTTATTAGGAACTGCTTCCATCCTGCGACGATACCTGTAATACCATCAAACATCCACATCTGCCTATCCCAGGTCCTGGGTAAGGACTCGATAGGTAGACAAAATGCCAAATCCAGTCTGAACATCTGGCTGACTGTGCGATGAATGATAATAATAATAATAATACACAGCTGGAATAGTGGACTGGACTCAAGCAGAACTAAAAGCAATGGATAGGCAGACCAGAAAAATAATGACAATGAATCATGCCCTTCATCCACGCAGTGACATTGATAGACTTTATCTACCAAGGCAAATAGGTGGGCGTGGAATGCTACAAGTACATCAGATGGTTGAAGAAGAAAAAATGGCTTTGGAAGAGTATCTGAAGAACAATGATGAAGATGCACTGAAATTAGTATATCAGGAAGGCTTACTAACTACTGGAGAGACCAAACTGGCCTACAAGAAAGACCAAATGAAGAACAGAATAGAGGCATGGGAAGACAAAGCACTACATGGCCAATACATTAAAAAAATAGTTGGGAAAGCAGATAATAACAAGACCTGGCAATGGCTAAGAGCAGGAAAATTGAAGAAAGAGACCGAGGGACTAATTCTGGCTGCACAAGACCAAGCCTTAAGGACAAATGCATACAAAGTCAAAATTGAGAAGACAGCAACAGACAGTAAGTGCCGCCTATGCAAAGAAGCTGAAGAAACAGTGGACCACTTGGTAAGCTGTTGCAAGAAGATTGCACAGACTGACTACAAGCAGCGGCATGACAAAGTAGCAACAATGGTGCATTGGAAGATCTGCAAAAAATATCATTTGCCTGTAAGCAAAAACTGGTGGGATCATAAAATAGAGAAAGTCATAGAAAATGATAAAATTAAACTGCTCTGGGACTTCAGAATTCAAACAGACAAGCACCTGCAACATAACACCCCAGACTTAACAATTGTCGATAAGAAAGACAAAAAAGTCTGGATAGTGGACGTGGCAGTGCCTGGAGACAGCAGAATAGACGAGAAAGAACTGGAGAAGATAACAAAATACAAAGACCTACAAATAGAAATAGAAAGACTGTGGCAAAAGCAAGCAAGGGTAGTACCAATAGTCATAGGCGCCTTGGGTACAATCCCAAAACAACTGGAGCACCACTTGAACACCATTGGCATTGACAAATTCGCTATTAGTCAATTTACTAGGAACTGCTTCCATCCTGCGACGATATCTGTAATACCATCAAACATCCACATCTGCCTATCCCAGGTCCTGGGTAAGGACTCGATAGGTAGACAAAATGCCAAATCCAGTCTGAACATCTGGCTGACTGTGCGATGATCAATAATAATAATAATAATAATAATAATAATAATAATAATAATAATAATAATAATAATAATAATAAAGTTGGAAGGGACCTTGGAGGTCTTCTAGTCCAACCCCCTGCTCAGGTAGGAATCCCTATACCATTTCAGACAAATGGCTGTCCAGTCTCTTCTTAAAAACTTTCAGTATTGGACCATCACTGCTTCTGGAGGCAGGTCGTTCCACTGGTTAATTGTTCTAACTGTCAGGAAGTTTCTCCTGAGTTCTAGGTTGCTTCTCTCCTTGATTAGTTTCCACCCATTGCTTCTTGTCCTGCCTTCAGGCACTTTGGAGAATAGCTTGACTATAGAATAATAATAATAGAATAGAATAGAATAGAATAGAATAGAATAGAATAGAATAGAATAGAATAGAATAGAATAGAAGTTATAAGGGACCTTGGAGGTTTTCTAGTCCAGCCCCTGCTCAAGCAGGAGAACCTATATACCATCTCAGACAAGTGACTGCATTCCCATCACCAGCTGAGCTATAAACTGTATTTACAAATCCCAGTCGGTGGATTCACTCGGGCTAAGCTATAGTATAAACCACGGTTGATTCACCCCTGGGAATCAGCGCCGGTGCTCTCCCAACTACCAGAACCAACCAGCAGAGCTGCAGTCCCGCATGAACTCGTCCCGGGACTCCAGAGGGAGGGTCGCCCCGCCAACCTTTTCACACTGCTGGGAAATGCAGAAAAGACGAACCTTCCACCGCTTCCCCTCCCGCCCCACAAAAAGAGGGTACGCGATCGCCGATACCGGGAACGCCGCATGCGCGCCACATTTGCAACCGGGCGCTCGCGTGCCCCGAAGGAGCGATCAATGCCGTGGGCGGAGCCAGGAAGTTGCTTAGAGACTCGGAGGCTGAGCTCCCGCTCCCCGGCTTCTCTAGGACTCCCGACTCGGATATTTAACCCTTCCAGTCCCGGGTCTGATTCCTGGAGATTTTCCAGGCACGTCGGTGTAGTTAGTTGTTTCATTCATTCGCTCATTCATTCAGTCATTCATTCATCCATCCATGCTCCATCACTGGAGGCTTTTAAGAAGAGGCCGGACAGACGCTTGTCTGGAATGGTACAGGTCTCCTGCGTGAGCAGGGGGTTGGGCTAGACTAGATGACCTCTAAGGTCCCTTCCAACTCTTATTCGTCTTTTTTCTGCCATCCATATGTATACACTCGAAGTAGACGATAATGCTTCTCTGTGTCATGCATGTGTGCTTGAGCGTGTGAGTATATGTCTAATGGTATTTTTTGGAGAGCTGAATGCAATGACATTTCATTTTAATGTATGCTGATTAGTGTACATTTAAAGTGACAATAAAGATTCTAATTCTATTCCTTAGTATAATATACCGCCAAATCCCAGGGGACTCCCAGAGGGTTGCCAAAGCTTATACTGATAAGACATCCATGGGAAGAATTCAATTCAGGTAGTCCTCAATTTACGGCCAGAATTGATCCCAAAATTTCTATTGCCAAGCAAGCCAGTTGTTAAGTGAATTTTGCCCCATTTTACGACCATTTCTGCCACAGTTATTAAGTGAATCACTGCTGCTATTAATTTAGCAACATAGTTGTTAAATGAATCGGGCTTCCCCATTGACTTTGCTGGTCAAAGACTCTAGAAAGAGTACAGAGAAGAGCAACAAAGATGATTAGGGGACTGGAGGCTAAAACATATAAGGAACGGCTTCTGGAATTGGGTATGTCTAGTTTAATAAAGAGAAGGACGAGGGGGGACATGATAGCAGTGTTCCAGTATCTCAGGGGCTGCCACAAAGAAGAGGGAGTCAAGCTATTTTCCAAAGCGCCTGAAGGCAGGACAAGAAGCAATGGATGGAAATTGATCAAGGAGATAAGCAACCTAGAGCTAAGGAGAAACTTCCTGATAGTTAGGACAATTAACCAGTGGAACAACCTGCCTCCAGAAGCAGTGAATGGTCCAACACTGGACATTTTTATGAAGAGACTGGACAGCCATTTGTCCGAAATGGTATAGGGTTTCCTGCCTGAGCAGGGGGTTGGACTAGATGACCTCCAAGGTCCCTTCCAACTTTTTTTCATCATCATTATTATTATTATTATTACCATTTGAGTACCTCCAGGTAGTCTCAACGACTCTCTAAAAGAAGGCAAATGACTAGCTGTCTGCAAGGAGTATAAATCCTTCCATTCCCCACCATCCAGTCAGAGCTGAAGAAGCTACTTGGATGAGAAGCGAAATGTCTTCAAAGAAAAAACAAGAAAATCCAATTGCCTCTTGAAAAAAGCACCTTTGGGACAACGACCCAGATGACTGAGTATCTCCATAGATCATCTCGGTTTTTTTTTTTTATATGGGAAATTATGATTTAAATAACAGCATCAATGTCAGAAACAGCTCTTTAATGCATTTTACTCAGTTAATTGTTCAAAACATATAATTATAAAAGAAAGGGGGGGGGAAGCAAGTGGCAAGCTGGGACAGACCGTGCACTTAAAGGAAAAAAATTTTCTCACAGTGTTCAAAATAAAAGTACAGAAGGTAATTAGAAACCATCATTTGAGCAGAACAGAAAACCATGAACGCTCGGTTTTAAACAATAGATTTTAAATGCCTTATTTTGGCCTTCCTAATAACTTAATTAAGTACTTCCAGGAAAAAAAAATCACATTGTGTAGATAAAGTAGAAGCCAGGTACTATATCATTCCTATATATTGTTGATTGTAAACAGGAAATCTCTTTTAAGATTTATCACATAAAGGGTCCTAGAGCAGTGTTTTTCAACCTTGGCAATTTTACGTTGTGTGGACTTCAATTCCCAGAATTCCCCAGCCAGCCCTGCTGGGGAATTCTGGGAGTTGAGGCCCACATAATGTAAAACTATCAAGGTTGAAAAATACTGGCCTAGGACAGGGGTAGGCCACCTTGGCTCTTTTATGACTCGTGGACTTCAACTCCCAGAATTCCTGAGCTAGCCATGCTGAGGGGAAAGGGAGAGGTTTCCAAGCTGAGCCAGGCTGGCTCAGGAATTCTGGGAGTTGAAGTCCACAAGTCATAAAAGAGCCAAGTTTGAAGACCCCTGTTGTAGGTCATCTAGTCCAGGGCTAGGCAACCTTGGCTCTTTTATGACTCGTGGACTTCAACTCCCAGAATTCCTGAGCCAGCCATGCTGAGGGGAAAGGGAGAGGTTTCCAAGCTGAGCCATGCTGGCTCAGGAATTCTGGGAGTTGAAGTCTACGAATCATGAAGGGGCCAAAGTTTCCCTCATGCTGGCTCAGGAATCCTGGGAGTTGAAGTCCACGAGTCATAAAAAAGGCAAGGTTGCCTACCCCTGCCCTAGGGGAATCCAAGAAAGAAAATGCTAAATTTCCTGCTCAATCTTCAAGGGATTACCAACCAGATTTACAAATCTGGAAAGATTACCCAGTATCCCACCTGAGCACCAACGTAGACAAATGAAGGAATCTTTAGTCCAATGTTTTAAGAGCTATATCCCCCACTTCCTTTTTAAGGAAAAACTGAGGTCTGAATCAAGATCTCCCTTGATAGGGAGAAAACCTAATAAGTGTCAGCCAGTTGAGGGTCCTTATGCAAGGACATAAGCGCCTTAAGACAAAAATGTACCCCCTCTCCCCAAAATACCGTACGAAAATAACAAAATCACATTCATAATTCCGTATCAAAGGAGCAAAAATTCCTGATGTAAACATTGGACTGTTTTCCCAAGCAAGTAGAAGGGACAAGTGTATGTGCGTTTGTTTTTTTTTTAAATAGCCCATAAACATTTGACACTTGGTTGTAGAAAAGGGATCTCCAAACTTGGCAACTTTAAGACTTTTGTGGACTTTCAATTCCTAGAATTCAACTTGTGGACTTCCACTCCCAGAATTCCCCAGCCGTACTGGGGAAGTCCACAAAGTCTTACAACGGTCAAACTTGGAGACCCTTGTGGTAGAAGAAAAATAAGGGAGAAAAAACAGCTATAGGGACAATCAATAGTTTCACAAAGGGCTGGATGGTGCTGCCAAAGGCTTTAGGTTTTCTAATGAAAAGATGCCCTTTATGGGTGATTTCCAAGAATTATTCAAAATCTCAAGTTTGTTCTGGGTGGTCTACTTTCCCTTTGCCACACACCCCTGCCCTCCGCCCCTCTATTCATTCCTAATTCCCAGTTCGCTGTTTGTTTTCTCATGAGCAGGAACTTCTAATCTGTCTCCCACCAAAATCTTTTTGCTTTTCTCTTCCGTGTGAACCGTGTAATGCCGGTGAAGTTCTGATTTTGACCGGAAGTTCTTCCCGCAGTTGGTACACAGGAACGGCTTGACCCCCGTGTGAGTCCGCTGGTGCGAAATGAGGTTCGAGTTACGGTTGAAGCTTTTCCCACAATCCAGACAGACGTACGGTTTTTCCCCCGTGTGGATCTTCTGGTGCCTGGTGAGGCTGGTGCTGTCGCAGAAACTTTTCCCGCAGTCCGAACAGATATACGGGGTGCCCCCGGTGTGGACCCGCTGATGCCGAATGAGACTCATGTTAGAGTAGTAGCTCTTCCCGCACTCGGCGCACTCAAACGGCTTCACACCGGTGTGGGTTTTCTGGTGCGTGATCAGGTTGGAGCTCCAGCGAAACCCTTTCCCACATTCCAAGCACGTGTAAGGCATCTCCCCGGTGTGGATCCTCTGATGGAGCGTCAGATCCGCCTTCCGGCAAAAGTTTTTCCCGCAGTCGGCACAGTGGTAGGGTTTTTCTCCAGTGTGGATCCTCTGGTGGATTCGAAGCTCCGATCGCTCGCAGAAGCTGACGCCGCATTCCGGACACTTGTAGGGTTTCTCCCCCTTGTGGATGATGGAGTGCCTAATCAAGTGCGACTTCACCCGGAAATTTTTCCCGCAATCCAGACACTGGTAGGCCTTCTCCCCTGCGTGGATTCTCTGGTGAATTGTGAGACCCGAGCTCTGGCAGAAACATTTGCCGCAATCCAGACATTTGTACGGTTTTTCTCCGGTGTGGATTCTCTGGTGTCTAACCAGGCTGGTGCTGTAATTAAAACTCTTCCCGCAATCGGGACATTTATAAGGCATGTTCCCTGTGTGGGTCACCTGAAATTCAATGATATCTGAGTTACGGTCAGCTACTCCGGCAGCCTCGCTCTTCACTTGATGGATTCTCTTCGGATCTGTGTTTTCTCCGACGATCTCAGCGCCTTCACAAAGAACAGCCTTCCCGATGTTCTTCTCTGGAGAGTGCTCTCCTTCAAATCCCTTCCAAATTCTGGGAACGTCTTGCAGATCACCGCTCTGGGAATCCTTCCCCCCCGAGTTCCCTTTCACTATTCCATTGGTGCCTTCTCCTGGAACGTCTGGTGGATCGGTGGCTTTATTGGTGCTCCTCAAAGATTCACCTGAGGGAAAGAATAAGAGAAAGGGGGAAATCCAGCATATCCATTTGGCTTCACACTTCCAAGCTATTCGCCAGAACTTTAAACTCACCTTTCTGAAAATCAGATGCCCACTTTGGCTATATTTCAATTTGGAGAACTCTAGGCTTATTCGCCTATATCAGGGGTTTCAAAACTTGGCAACTTTAAGACTTGTGGACTTCAACTCCCAGAATTCCCCAGATAGAACAGCTGGCTGGAGAATTCTGAGAGTTGAAAGTCTTTCAAGTTGCAAATTTGGATGCCCCTAGCCCAGGGGTAGGCAACGTTGGCTCTTTTATGACTCGTGGACTTCAACTCCCAGGATTCCTGAGCCAGCCACGTTGAGGGGAAAGGGAGAGGTTTCCATGCTGAGTCATGCTGGCTCAGGAATTCTGGGAGTTGAAGTCCGTGAGTCATGAAAGAGCCAAGGTTGCCTACCCCTGGTCTAAGGGCTATTCTAAATGTTATTTATATAGCCTAGGGCAGGGGTAGGACATCTTGGCTCTTTTATGACTTGTGGACTTCAACTCCCAGAATTCCTGAGTCAACTATGCTGAGGGGAAAGGGAGAGGTTTCCATGCTGAGTCATGCTGGCTCAGGAATTCTGGGAGTTGAAGTCCACGAGTCATAAAAGAGCCAAGGTTGCCTACCCCTGCCCTAGCCTGTATGATATGTGTTCTTTGGGCCCAAGATGGTGGCTTTTTCATCTGAGGAATGCTTTGATCAATTTTATGATGGAGCTTTGCAAGGAACCACCCCCCAAAAAAAGATACGGACCAAAAAGAGAGGCAGCCTGGTTTAAAAACCTGATTGCACTCCTACAACAAAGGTGTATTCAATCCAGCTCCTCTTGGGCAAATCCAGACAGAGTTAGGGCATCATTCATGCTTTGCCAGTGAAAAAGATGAAGCTTCCTCATCAAATAACTTACCTTGGATGGGGGAAAGTCCATTGTCATCTCCCTGTAGACAAGCCAAGGACTCTTGCTCGGACCCAGAAAAATTCAGGGCTGGCTCTTTCTTTGACACCTGCCATAGAAAAGAAAATGCTAAGATCAAAGAAGCAGAGAGGACTTAAAGGACATCTAGCTGGCCCCCTTGTTGGGTGGGAAGCCCCCTCCTCTATTCCCACCACCCAGTCATGGTTCCGACAGATGAAACTCTTCAAAGAACTTTGAGGCGTTGTTTACCTTAAAGAATCTTTATTCCAGAAGCTTAGCATCAGCAGGAACACAGTAGAAGCCAAAAACTGAATTCTCCTCCCCTGAGCATATAATATCAAAGCACAATTCCCTCCTCCAATTAACAGTCATAAATCACATTCTCCAATTAGTTTGAAACTCAGGCTTTCCCTCCTGTTTTCCAACCCGCCAATTCTTATCATCTCTTATTTCAATAACCTTGGTTCACACACTAAGTCCAGTATTGTTATGTCTAGCTAAACTCTCATGCACATTCCTCCCCCCAGCATCATCTAACTCTAACTCTAAAAGTAAAACATAAGAAGGAAATGGTTGCATCTCCAACTGTTGTCCAAGTAAAACATCCGATGTTAGCAGCATTGACAGGCCCATTATCACAGAGCCTGCAAAAAGCTCCTTCCTTGTCCAACTATTTTCCAAAACACCAAAAGGCAAGACAAGAAACAATGGATGGGAGCTAACCAAGGAGAGAAGCAACCTAGAATTAAGGAGAAAATTCCTAAGGGTTAGAGCAGAAGTGTCAAACTCGTGACGTCACGTGACATCACGTTATGTATCGGAGCTTTTTTCCCATTGCCAGCAATGGGGTGGGCGTGGTTTCCTGATGACGCGTCCGGTCCGCAGGCCGGCAGTTTGACACCCCTGGGTTAGAGCAATCAAACAATGGACCAGCTTTGCCTTCAGAAGTTGTGGAGGCTTTTAAGAAGAGACTGGACAGCCACTTGTCTGAAATGGTGTAGGGCAGGGGTAGGCCACCTTGGCTCTTTTATGACTTGTGGACTTCAACTCCCAGAATTCCCCAGCCAGCATGGCTGCCTAGGGCAGGGGTAGGCAACTGGGCTCTTTTATGACTCGTGGACTAACTCCCAGAATTCCTGAGCCAGCATGGCTCAGCTTGGAAGCCTCTCCCTTTCCCCTCAGCATGGCTGGCTCGGGAATCCTGGGAGTTGAAGTTCACGAGTTATAAAAGAGCCAAGGTTACCTATCTCTGGCCTAGGCCTAGGCCACTTTATGACTCGTGGACTTCAACTCCCAGAATTCCTGAGCCAGCCATGCTGAGGGGAAAGGGAGAGGTTTCCAAGTTGAGCCATGCTGGCTCAGGAATTCTGGGAGTTGAAGTCCATGGGTCATAAAAGAGCCGAGGTTGCCTAGCCCTGCCCTACACCATTTCAGAGAAGTGACTGTCTAGGACAGGGTTCTTCAAACTTGGCTCTTTTATGACTCGTGGACTTCAACTCCCAGAATTCCTGAGCCAGCCTGGCTCAGCTTGGAAACCTCTCCCTTTCCTTTCAGCGTGGCTGGCTCAGGAATCCTGGGAGTTGAAGTCCACGAGTCATAAAAGAGCCACGGTTGCCTACCTCTCATTTGCGCGGAAGCCAGCACTGAGTTTGGGATCTATACCTGTCATTTCCACTCTCCAGAATGACGTCACTCAAAGGGTTTTGTGGACAGAAACCAAAGCTCTGCCATATTTATTTTTTTTAAGTCAAAGAACAAAGACAAACCAGAAGCCAGACAAGGGAACAGGCAGGCTGTTAATATCCAGCACCTCATGCCCACTGTGAGGATTGGGGATGATGGATCTTATTCTGCTTCCACTACAGAGCTATATGGCACTGCTCAAACACGACGTACATGGATCTGCCCTCTCCAACAAAATGAGTTTCAATGTGGAGAAAAGCAAAGTCTTACATTTAGGCCTGGAAAACCAAAGGTACAAATACAAACTGGGCAAGATCTGGTTTAAAAACAGTAACTGTGCGAGGGACCTTGGAGTCCTAGTGGACGATCACTTGATTGAGCCAACAATACAATCCTGGGCTGTATAAACAGAGGCACAGAATCAAGATCACGCGAGGTATTATTACCGCTTTATAAAACCCTAGTAAGACCACACCTGGAATACTGCAGCCAATTTTGGTCACCATATCACAAAAAAGATGTTGAGAGTTTGGAAAAAAATTCAGAGAAGAGCGACTATGATGATCAAAGGCCTGGAGACTAAAACATACGAAGAATGGCTGCAGGACTTGGGTTTGTCTAGTCCCGGGGTAGGCAACCTTGGCTCTTTTATGATTCGTGGACTTCAACTCCCAGAATTCCTGAGCCAGCCATGCTGGCTTAGGAATTCTGGGAGTTGAAGTCCACGAGTCATAAAAGAGCCAAGGTTGCCTACCCCTGGTCTAGTCTAAAGAAAAGAAGAAACAGGGGAGACACGATAGGAGTGTTGCAGTATCTGAGGGGCTGCCACAAAGAAGAGGGGGTCACGTTGTTCACCAAAGCACCAGAGGGAAGGACAAGAAACACTGGTGGGAAACTGATCAAGGAGAGAAGCAACCTGGAACTGAGGAGAAACTTCCTGACAGTGAGGACAATCAACCCGTAGAATAGCTTATCCCCAGAAATCGTGGGCGCTCCATCACTGGAGATTTTCAAGAGAAGACTGGACAGTTACCTGTCTGAGATGGTATAGGTTCTCCTGCTTGAGCAGGGGGCTGGACTAGAAGATGTTTTTGTCAGAAACCATCATTTTACCTCCGGCTTCTGGCAATAAACGCCCATGGCGAACAACGGGTTCCCTTAACAAACAAGGCAGGCTCAATTCTGATCATAAATCGAAGACTACCTGTGCTCGCTATGGAATTCTGGGAGTTGAAGTCCTGACTACTTTAAAGTTGCCGAGGTTGAGAGAGGCCGGTCTAAGCAATTCTAGGTAGGGCTGCACCCTCCGATTCCTCGCCCCAAACCACGCGTCCTTCTCACCTGCTCACCCAGCATCTCACGTACCCATTCCTTCTGCTGGAAGCCCTCGGCCAGAGCTACTGCCTGGGCACAGGTTTGGGGGCCTCCCTCGACCACCCAACTCTGGATCTCCGGGGGCAGGATGGCCAGGAACTGCTCCAGGACCAGCAGCTCCAGGATCTGCTCCTTGGTGTGCCTCTCCGGCTTCAGCCACCGGCAGCAGAGGAACCAGAGGCGGCTGCAGGCCTCACGGGGACCCCCAGCCTCCCGGTAGAGGAACTGGCGGAAGTGCTGGCGTTGAATCTCCAAAACGACAGTCTCTGCCTCCGGAAGCGATTCTTTCAGCGGCTCGGAAGACTTCAGGTCTCGGTGGGGCCCTTGGGATTCCCCGCCGAAGTCGGGCTGGGTTTGGGTCGACCGTTCTTCTGTGAAGCGCCGGGTGTCTCTGGCCTTTATCTGCACGGAGGCTGGGAGTATTGCTGAAGAGGCCTGGAGGGACGATCTCAGCTCTTGTAGACTTGAGCAGCCAACTGCAGGAGTCACCACTGTCTTAAGGAAGTCTTTCCACTGAGTGTCCTCAGAATGGGGGAAGCCCTCCAGGTGCAACTCTTCTTTAATCAAGTCTCTTGGAGACTTTATCAGAAGAGTCCTGGTGTTTCCAGTCTGGGAGGCCCCAGCGCGTTCCCTGCCCTTCGCTCCTGCCCTGGAATCTGCGGTCTCTTCCCATCCTGCCATCTCCTCCTCAGCGGGCACGTCTGTCTCTTCTTCTCCCTGCTCCTCCGTTTCCACGTCCGAGGTCACCTCTGGCTTTCGCCTAGCCTGGATCGCGGGGCCCAAATCCAACAGGGCTCCCTCTTCCATCGCCATCCTGGACCAGGTTAACGGTCAAGAATCAGCCTGCCTTCCGAAGCGTCTCGGCGTGTCTTTCCGTCTGACAGGAAATTGCAAGGTAACAAGTAATCAGAAGTAGGCGTCTTGCCCAACGCCAAGAGCTTCTTTCTGAAAAGAGATGAGGGGGGATAGAAATTAGAACGAGAAGGAAACTACAGGTTGTCAAGGTTGAATTGCTATGATGGTTACTAACCTCTGTTGCTGCTCAACCTGCCGTAGAAACAGGGGGGAGGGAGAGCTTGGGAAAGAAACGGGAGTTTCAAGAAGCCGTCCATGGACCGTGAGACCCGAGGTCATCCAAAGCAGGCGGAGAAGTGGGACCGTCCCCATAACAGCAAGGATGTGATTGGGCAATGTGACCACATGGTGGGTGGGGGGATATGAAAAGCTATTGTTTAACTAACCAGATATTTGCGCAGGAAAACTAGAGATGATTTTGCTTCTTTGGTGCCGGGATGTGTAAAACTGGCAGGAATAGCCAACACCCCAGAAGATCAACTCAGGATCCAAAAAGATCTTGACAAACTCGAAAAATGGGCCCTGTCCAACAAAATGAGTTTCAGTGTGGAAAAAAAGCAAAGTTTTACATTTAGGCAGGAAAAATCAAAGGTGCAAGTACAGATTAGGCGAGACCTGGCTCAAAAACAGTAACTGTGAGAGGGACCTTGGAGTCCTAGTGGACGATCGCTTGACTGAGCCAACACTGTGCAGCAGCAGCCCAAAAAGCTAGTACAATCCGGGGTTGTATAAACAGAGGCATAGAATCAAGATCATGCGAAGTATTAGTACCACTTTATAAAACCCTAATGAGACCACACCTGGAATAATGCAGCCAATTTTGGTCACCATACTACAAAAAAGATGTTGAGACTTTGGAAAAAGTTCAGAGAAGAGCAACTAAAATGATCCAAGGCCTGGAGATTAAAACATACAAAGAACGGCTGCAGGACTTGGGTTTGGCTAGTCTAAAGAAAAGAAGAAACAAGGGCGACATGACAACAGTATTCCAGCATTTGAGGGGCTGCCACAAAGAAGAGGGGGGTCAAACTATTCTCCAAGGCATCAGAAGGCAGGACAAGAAACAATGATTGGAAACTGACCAAAGAGAGAAGCAACCTGGAATTAAGGAGAAACTTCCTGACAGAGAGGACAATTAACCAGTGGAACAGCTTGCCTCCAGAAATCGTGGGTGCTCCATCACCGGAGGTTTTTAAGAAGAGACTGGACAGTCACTTGTCTGAGATGGCATAGGTTCTCCTGCTCGAGCAGGGGGCTGGACTAGAAGACCTCCAAGGTCCCTTCCAGCTCCATTCCATTCCATTCAATAAAGATTATCTCTCTTATGGCATCTCAAGACTGTAGTGTTTCTTCAATATTGAATTCGCCAGCCGGACGGTTGACACAGGTAGTCCTCGACTTAAGATCATAACTGAGCCCAAAATTTCTACTGCTAAGTGAGACATTTGTTAAGTGAGTTTTGCCCCATTTTACGACCTTTCTTGCCACAGTCGTTAAGTGAATCCCTGCAGTTGTTAAGTTAGTAACACGGTTAAGTGTTCTCCTTTGACTTTGCTTGTCAGAAAGTCACTAAAGGGGATCACATGACCCCAGGACACCTCAACCGTCATAAATACGAGTCAGTTGCCAAGCGTCTGAGTTTTGATCACGTGACCATGGGGATGCTGCAAGGGTCATAAGTGTGAAAAATGGTCCTAAGTCCTTTTTTCCTTTGCTCTTGTAACTTCTAACGGTCACTAAATGAACTACAGGTAGTCCACGACTTACAGCAGTTCATTTAGTGACCGTTCAAAGTTAAAATCCCTGGTTAGGTGTGAAATTTATCAGAAAACAGAAGAAGAAAAACTTAAAGAGGATGGAGAAAGCAACACAGCTCTGTTTAGAATGGGATACTGCACAGTGGAGCATGGGAAGGTGAGGACAACGTTGTCTGCCTAATTCATGAACAGGATTCACACCACACAATCTGAGGGCTGAGTTACCACAATACGGTAAAGCATAAACAACTAGGTTAATTGTATAACAGGTTATGCACAGGGAACAAATTAAAATCAGGTGCTGTACTCCAAGACTTGCCATTTTCTCCTTTTAAAAAGTGCAGAATGGGACCCTCCAAAGCCCTCCCTCCCTCCCCCCCCCTTTTTTTGCAAAGCATGCGGGAAACTGCGAGGAGCTCTGCATAAACCCTAAAGCTTGCCCATTCTACACTGATCTCTAGCAGCATTGTATCACTTCACTGTTCCTAGGTTTCTCCAACTCCTAGTGTGGGAGCCACACTTAACCGGTTCATTTAAATCTCAGGGGGAGGGCTTCCTTCTTACAACCCCCCTAAGTTAGATTTTATTACAACCTCCCTAAGTTAGATTTTACTGGATCTCATGTGCATCCACCAGGTTTAAGGATTCGACCCCTGGGGCAAACCTAGAAAATGGGTAAATTACATTCCGAAGTTGTTGTTATTATAGTTATGGCTTGTTGCACAATCAGCCAGATGTTTAGACTGGATATGGAATTTTTAATCCACCTGTGGAGTCTTTCTTCCCACGGGCCTGGGATACTATCATCATCAACAACAACAACAACCTGGCTCAAAAACAGTAACTGTGTGAGAGAGTCTTAGTGGATGATCACTTAAACATGAGCCAGCCGTGTGCGGCAGCAGCCAAAAAAGCTAATACAATCTTGGATTGTATAAACAGAGGCACAGAATCAAGATCACCTGAAGTCTTAGTACTGTTTTATAGAACCTTAGTAAGGCCACACCTGGAATATTTGCATTCAGTTTTGGTCACCACATTACAAAACAGATGTTAAAGCTTTGGAAGAAGTGCAAAGAAGAGCAACTAGGATAATTAAAGGCCTGGAGAATAAAACACATGAAGAACAGTTGCAGGATTTGGAAATGGCCGGTCTAGAAAGACGAAGGAGGGGGTGCCACAAAGAAGAGTGGGGTCAAATTATTCTCCAAAGCCCAGAGGGCAAGACAATGAATGGAAACTAATCAAGGAGAGAAGCAACCTGGAATTAAGGAGAATCTTTCTAACAGTGAGGACAATTAACCAGTGGAAAAGCTTTGCCTTCAGACGTTGTGTGTGTGGGTGGATCATCACTTTTACGAAAGAGACTAGACAGCCACCTGTCTGAAATGGTATAAGGTCCGCTGCTTGAGCGGGCGGGGGGGGGGGGCTGGACTAGAAGACCTCCAAGGTCCCTTCCAGCTCTATTCTGATTCTGATCATTATTATTACTACCTCGGGTGAGACGGCGGGAAGCCGATACAGCAGGAAAGATCGCTGGGGAGGATGGGGTTTGTAATTATCTGAAAGTGAAGGGGAGGATGGATGGGGTGGCTTTGATAGGCGCCCCTCCCGCCGCCGCCGCTGCGCGCGCACACACAACCTACAACCCACCGCCCGCTTTCCATTGCGGGCGCCTTCTCCCGACTCTCGCAAGCGCGTCCCCGTTTTTACTACTTACCACGCGGCCTCCATTCATCTCCTGCCGTGCAGTGGCCGAACGTTCCAACCGGAAGGAACCCTCATGTTTTTTTTTTTATCCCTTTCGCGTTCCATTACCCCCTCCCCAACCAGCCGGACTTTGATATTTACTGCCGCTCTAGGACACGCCTTCCAGGACCACCTCTAATGTTTTAACCCATTAAAGTCCAGTGTTTCTCAACCTTGACAATTTTAAGGCATGTGGACTTGAACTCTTAGAATTCCACAGCCAGCAATGCTGGCTGTGGAATTCTGGGAGTTGAAGTCCACATGCCTTAACATTTTCAAGGTTGTGAAACACTGCTAAACGCTCAAGCACGGACCATACACGGATCCTACAGCATATTGCTTTTAAGAGCTCCACTTTGAAACGGGTAGATTTGGACTCCCAGAATTCCTCAGCTAGCCAGCCGATTGACTGGCGGATTGATTATATCAGGGGGGTCTTCAAACTTGGCCCTTTTATGACTTTGTGGACTTCAACTCCCAGAATTCCTCAGACATCGTGCCTGACTGAGGAATTCTGGGAGTTGAAGTCCACAAGTCATAAAAGGACCAAGTTTGAAGACCCCTGGATTATATCAATCAAGTGGCTGTTGACTCCTATTGACCCTATGGAGCAGCTGTTACTCAACCTTGGCAACTTTTAAGATCGGCAGGCTTCAATTCCCAGAATTCCTCAGCCAGCCATGCTGATTAGGGAATTCTGGGAATTGAAGTCCATGTGTCTCAAAGCAGCCAAGGTTGTGATGTGCAGTATTAGAGGGTTTATTATTTTTTATCTCCCTATGTTCAAGGAAAAAAAAATAGATAAATTGGATAACTATGACCTGGATGATTGAGAATCTCCATAGACATAAACCTGAGAGGTTTTTTTCCAGATTAAATCCCATCCTCCTTAGCTAGCAGACCTCTTCCCTTGCACTCTTGATTTCTCTTGATTCTACCTCCCATTAACTTTCTGCATTAAAAACTAAGTCCAGGTGGTGACAGATGCAAGCACTCCTGGATATATATTTTTTTCTTAACTAAGAAATGGACCCCAAACGTTTGCTACTTCTGCCTGTTCCTTTTAGAGACAACTTTTTGTCAATCATTTGTGAGATTCCCCCCTTCTCAAGAAAAGCTTCCCATTGCTATGATTTTTACCTGCAAATTCTGTGCCAAGTTTGAACTGAAGGCAGTCCTCGACTTGTGACAACAATTGAGCCCAAAATTTCTGTTGCTAAGTGTGACAGTGGTTAAGTGAACTTTTTTCTCCGCTTTACTATCTTTCTTGCCACAGGTGCTAAGCAAATCATCATTAGTAACACAGTTGTTAAGTGAATCTTGCTTTCCCATTGACTTTGCTTGTCAGAAGGTCACAAAAGATGAGTATATTCTTGTGGAAAATGAAAAGACTCTTACGAATTCCAGGGGGCTTTTAGCAGAAAGATTTATTGCGCAGGTTCAGAAGCTATAGCAACAAGTAATTCTGAACCCCAAGGACAGGTTCAGACTTCAGTTTTATACATTCCTTTTTCTCAGGAACAAAGGAATACACATTGAAATACACATTGTAATACATTAGGTTAGTTTCTCAGGATATACAATGGAGAGTTTGCTACGTACATTGTATCCAAGTGCAATGCACATTAGGTTAGTCACATACTGCTAACACAGCACTATTCCAGTAATTATGCAGACACATAATTATTCTAGTGATTGTTAACTTTTCCACTTTAATATGACACACACACACACACACACACACACACACACACACACACACACACACGGGACACTGCAACCATCATAAATATGAACCAGGTGTCAAGCCTTTGAATTTTGATCACGTGATCATGGGGATGCTGCAAGGGCTGTGTGAAAAATGGTCACACTTTTTTTCAGTGTTGTCGTAACTTTGAGTGGTCAGTAAACAAAACCATTGTAAATTGAGGATTACCTGTTACTTCTTGGCCTGCCCAAGAGGACAATGCCAAGCTGAGATGGAGCACTTGATGAAAATTTGCCACAAGGCTCAGACATGAATGAAGCCAGGACTGAACTGGGATTAACCTCAGAAGAACCAGACAGAACTGGATACCTGCTGTCCTACTAGATCTTTCCTGATTCCTATCCTTTTAGTAAAGCTCTTAGTAACTCTTACTGTAACTCGTGCAGGTTCTAAACCACGGAAGAAGAAGAAATCAAGTCTTGTTCCCATTTTGATTTCATCCTTTGCACTAGACCAGGGTTCTTCAAACTTGGCCCTTTTATGGCTTGTGGACTTCAACTCCCAGAATTCCTCAGCCAGGCATGTGTGCCTGGCTGAGGAATTCTGGGAGTTGAAGTCCACAAGTCATAAAAGGGCCAAGTTTGAAGACCCCTGCATTAGGCTCAGCCTCAACTACATATGTGCAATACTCTCCCACAAACTTACAATGCCAAAGCTGAAAGAGAGGGGGTAGGGAGATTTGTCTCCTTGAGCAGCCATTTCATGACTGGACTTGCTTCTGTTACATTGGTGAAGGAGAAGCGAACAACTTCATTGCAAGGCGGGCCTCCAGTCTGGCTGGAGTGAATAGCAATAGCACTTAGACCAGCGGTTCTCAACCTATGGGTCACGACCCCATTTGGGGTCAATCGACCATTTCACGGGGGTCGCCAAGCAAGGCTGTCCGCCATTTTTTTCCCCTTTTCCGGCGGGTGCCTTACCTCCCTTGGCCCAGCCGGTGGTCAGCCTGCTCCGTCTCTGTCACTTGCCAGCTACGCCTCAGCCGGCGCAGGGGGCGGCACCACGCATGCGCGGCGTTCCCGGGCAGGGAAAGTCCTCAACTTATGACTGGTTGGGTAGTCCTCGACTTATGACTGGTTTAGTCCTCGACTTATGACCGGTTTAGTCCTCGACTTATGACCGGTTGGGGGTCACAGCATTAAAAAGGTTGACTTAGACTTATATACTGCTTCACAGTGCTTTACAGCCCTCTTTAAGCGGTATACAGAGTCAGCATATTTGCCCCCAACAATCTGGGTCCTCATTTTACTGAGCTCAGAAGGATGTGTTGTCCCCAATTCGGGTCTCAGCCTGGTGCTGAACCCAATGAAGAACACCAGACACGAATTGCAGGTTTTGTGGTCTTTTATTGAAGCGCTCCAAGAAAAAAGGGTCCTGGGTAGAAAATGTCAACGAACCCCAAACAATAGAATTAATAAAGTTTTACACATTTTCTCTAAAGCAGAAGGCGGGATAAGGTGGGATATGTAAGAAATATCATCTAATAAACGTTTCAATAATAATCTAACAATTATTCTATTGGTCTCTAGCCGTCCCTATTCCTAAGCCTTGGCTAATGAATGCTTCAGGAGTTATCTAATACACATCCTATTTGCTCCAGGCCATCCCTGTTCCTAACTTTTAGCTGAGTCTGCAAAATGCCTATGAGGAGCCGAGGTGGCGCAGCAGTTAGAGTGCAGTACTGCAGGCCACTTTAGCTGACTGTGTTCAGCAGGTCAGCGGTTCAAATCTCACCGGCTCAAGGTTGACTCAGCCTTCCATCCTTCCGAGGTAGGTAAAATGAGGACACAGATTGTTGGGGGCAATGTAAATATATATATACATTGCTTACTGGTGTACACCGCTTAGAGAGTGCTTGCACTTAAGGCGGTATATAAGTCTCATAAATAAATAAATAAACAAAAGTCTTCTTTACTTTTATCAGCTTTCAGAACTGTTACAAGCTTTACATGTGCATATTCTCTGTGAATAAGCCTTCTTTGTTGTTACCAGAACACACTCCCCAATTACAGACTTCCTGGACTCTTTTGAAGTGTACGCCTAACCTTGCTATGTTTTGGCAGCCAGCCCATCATTCGGAAGGCTGAATCAACCTTGACACGGTGAGACTCGAACTGCTGGCAAGCAGCAGTCAGCAGAAGTAGCCTGCAGTACTGCATTCTAACCACTGCTCCACCAGGGCTCTTCAAAACATGTTCTTCAAAGTTTTTTCACTCTCAAGAGTGCTTTTTTTTCCAACCTTAGCATCTTCAACATGTATGACTTCAACTCCCAGAATTCCCCATCTAGCATGGTTCAGTTTAAAGGTGCAGGTGTCTTTCTGGGTAATTAAAATAAGATTTCCATAGGATCTATGACAGTGATGGCGAACCTTTTAGAGACCGAGTGCCCAAAAACTGGCCCCATCCCTGCTCTGCCCCCCACCATCCCCTGCCCCGCTGCCCAAAGGATCACTCACCGCCTCCAGGACCCGCCGCAGATTGCCCAGGCAGCCCAGCAGTGCCATGGTGGCCACACCCTCTGCCCACGCCCTGCAGCATCAACTGCATGATGGGATATGAGGCAGACTCTTGTCTACATTGCCTGGCTGCCATGTCTGTGGCTGCGCTGCTCCGTGGGGGCCACGCTTGGGGCCGACTCTCCTTCAGGGGGGGCTGCTGGAGAGGAAGGGGTCGTGGGGGGAGGCAAGACTGGGGCAACCGCACGTGTGCTCACAGAGAGGGCTCCGAGTGCCGCCTCTGGCACCCCTGCCATAGATAAGCCACCACTGAACTATGATAAGGCAACCAGAGTGATTGGATAGAAAAGAAATATTATATTATATTTATTTATTTATTTATGAGACTTATATACCGCTTTAAGTGCAAGCACTCTCTAAGCGGTGTACAGCAGTAAGCAGTGTATATATATATTTACATTGCCCCCAACAATCTGGGTCCTCATTTTACCTACCCCGGAAGGATGGAAGGCTGAGTCAACCTTGAGCCAGTGAGATTTGAACCGCTGACCTGCTGAACACAGTCAGCTAAAGTGGCCTGCAGTACTGCACCCTAACTGCTGCGCCACCTCGGCTCTTGATGTGATATTATTGATATCAAATATTGATGTGATTATTATTTTTGGGAATATTGGGGGAAAATATATATTTAATTGTTATCTATCAAAACAATCAGAATTGTATTAACTCCATGTTTGCAAAAGAGGGTATTTTGGGAAGAGAGGAAATCAACTAAAACCATTGTGTGGATTATGGATTATAGAAATCGATGGTTAGTGATTGTTTTACAAATGTAAACCCAGACAACACACTGTTCATCAATATATTTTA